CTCCCACTCTCCCCGTCTCCCACTCACACCTCCACTCTCCCTGTCTCCCACTCTCCCGTCTCCCCCACCTCACTCTCCCACTCTCCCTGTCTCCCACTCTCCCTCTCCCCCCTCCCACTCACACTCTCCCACTCTCCCTGTCTCCCACTCTCCCCGTCTCCCACTCACACTCTCCCACTCTCCCTGTCTCCCACTCTCCCTGTCTCCCACTCACTCACACTCTCCCACCTCCCCGTCTCCCACTCACTCACACTCTCCCACTCTCCCTGTCTCCCACTCTCCCCGTCTCCCACTCACACTCTCCCACTCTCCCTGTCTCCCACTCCCTGTCTCCCACTCACTCACACTCTCCCACTCCCTGTCTCCCACTCTCCCTGTCTCCCACTCTCCCCGTCTCCCCCACTCACCATGCGTAGTCGATGTCCGTGATCTCCCGCAGCGCGTGTCTCAGCAGGCCTCCCACTCTCCCTGTCTCCCACTCTCCCCGTCTCCCACTCACTCACACTCTCCCACTCTCCCTGTCTCCCACTCTCCCTGTCTCCCACTCTCCCGTCTCCCACTCTCCCTGTCTCCCACTCACTCACACTCTCCCACTCACTCACCTCTCCCACTCTCCCTGTCTCCCACTCCCCTGTCTCCCACTCACTCACACTCTCCCACTCACTCACACTCTCCCATTCTCCCTGTCTCCCACTCTCCCTGTCTCCCACTCACTCACACTCTCCCCACTCACTCACACCTCTCCCACTCTCCCTGTCTCCCACTCTCCCTGTCTCCACTCTCCCTGTCTCCCACTCACCATGCGGTAGTCGATGTCCGTGATCTCCCGCAGCGCGTGTCTCAGCAGGCCTCCCACTCGCGCTCCCCGCCGGCGTTCTCCTGCAGGCCCAGCACGTAGACGTCGTGCGGGATGCCCACCGTGGTCTCGTCGCGCGTGCGCCCCAGGCCGCGTGACGTCAGCCACGACCCCAGCTGCCTCGCCGGCGGGGCTGCTGCCTGTGGAGACATTGCGGGGGCGAGGGGGGGGCAGGGAGGTCATCATCACGGGTGTGGCGGCGGGATGGTGGTGGTGGTGGTGGCGGTGGTGACGGTGGTGGCGGTGACGGTGGGGGTGGTGGCTGTGGTGGTGATGGTGGTGGCGGTGACGGTGGCGGTGGGTGGTGGCGGTGGTGGTGACGGTGGCGGTGGTGGCGGTGGCGGGGTGGCGGGGGTGGCGATGGTCGCGGGGTGGCGGTGGTGGCGGTGGTGGCGGTGGTGGCGGGGGTGGTGGCGGTGGTGGTAGCGGTGGTGGTGGTGGCGGTGTGGTGGCGGTGGGGGTGGTGGCGGCGGTGGTGGTGGCGGTGGGTGGCGGTGGGTGGTAGCGGTGGTGGTGGTGGCAGTGGCGGTGGCGGTGGGGGTGGTGGCGGCGGTGGTGGTGGCGGTGTGGTGGCGGTGGTGGCGGTGGTGGTGGTGGCGGTGGGGGTGGTGGCGGTGGGGGTGGTGGTGGCAGTGGTGGCGGCGGGGTATGTACCATGTGTTGAACTTCTTTCGCACCGTACGTAGCCAACCGTGATAATTATCAGAGGTGCGGTGGTGGGTGGCAGCGGTAGTGGCAGTAGTGGTGGTGGCAATTGTGGTGGTGGTGGCAGCGATAGTGGCAGTAGTGGTGGTGGCAACGGCCGTGATGGTGAACTTATTTTTGCACTGCACGTAGCCACCGTGATAATCAAAGGTGCGGGGATCGTGGTAGTAGTGGTGGTGTGGTGTTGGTGGTATATTGGTGGTGTATGTATGGTGGTAGTGGTGGTGTTGATGGTGGTAGTGGTGGTGTGGTGTTGGTAGTAGTGGTGGTGTGGTGTTGGCGGTATATTGGGGGCGATGGTGGCATAGTGGTGTTGGTGGTGTTTGGTGGGGTAGTTGTGGATGTAGTGGTGATGGTCAGATGATGGTGGTCATAGTGGATGTAGTGGTGGGGATGTTGGTGGTATACTGGTGGGTGTTGATGGTATACTGGTGGTGTGGTGTTGGTGGTAGTGGTGGTGTGGTGTTTGGTGGTAGTGGTGGTGTGATGTTGGTGGTGGTATACTGGTGGTGTGGTGTTGGTGGTAGTGGTGGTGTGTTGGTGGTAGTGGTGGTATACTGGTGTGGTGGTGTTGGTGGTAGTGGTGGTGTAGTATGGTGGTAGTGGTGCTGTGGTGTTGGAGGTATACTGGTGGTGTGGTGTTGGTGGTAGTGGTGGTGTGGTGTTGGTGGTAGTGGTGGTGTGGTGTTGGTGGTGGTATACAGGTGGTGTGGTGTTGGTGGTAGTGGTGGGGTGGTGTTGGTGGTAGTGGTGGTGTGGTGTTGGTGGTAGTGGTGGTGTGGTGTTGGTGGTGGTATACAGGTGGTTGGTGTTGGTGGTAGTGGTGGTGTGGTGTTGGTGGTAGTGGTGGTGGTGTTGGTGGTAGTGGTGGCGGTGGCGTCGGTGGCGGTGGCGGCAGGGTATGTACCATGTGTTGAACTGCTTTCACACCGTATGTAGCTAACCGTGATAATTATCAGAGTGCGTGTGGTGGTGGCAGTGGTACCGGTGGTGGAAGTAGTGGCAGTAGTGGCGGTGGCAATTGTGGTGGTGGTGGTGGCGGTGGGGTGGTGGCGGTGGCGGCGGCGGTGGTGGCAGCGGTAGTGGTGGTGGAAGTAGTGGCAGTAGTGGCGGTGGCGATTGTGGTGGTGGCGACGGCCGTGATGGTGGCAGGATACGTTCTATGTTGAACTTCTTTTGCACTGCACGTAGCCAACTATGATAATCAGAGGTGCGGGATCGTGGTAGTAGTGGTGTGTGGTGTTGATGGTAATGGTGTTGTATGTATGGTGGTAGTGGTGGTGTGGTGGTGGTGGTAGTGGTGGTGTATGTATGGTGGTAGTGCTGGTGTGGTGTTGGTGGTAGTGGTGGTGTGGTGGTATACTGGTGGTGTGGTGTTGGTGGTATAGTGGTGGTGTGGTGTTGGTGGTAGTGGTGGTGTGGTGTTGGGTGCGTTCGCACCGCACGTAGCCAACTACGCTAATCGGATGTGCGGGGGAAGAACAGACTAAAATCATTACTCGTGATGACGAGGCTGTGACGAGGAACACCCACGGTGCCGTGACCACGTGCCCTGGGGGTCAGTGACGCGCTCGCAACGGGGGCCAACCGAGTGTGCGTGCGTGCGTGTTCGTACCTGCGTGTGTGCGTGTCCTGTTTGTGTGCATGGGAGTGATTCCGTGTGTATAATGTGTGTGTCTGTGTAAGATGTGTAAACAACGCGACTGGGAGACAAAGGCGGTCAGGGCGTGGTGCTGGCCACCCACCCCCTCGTGTGCCGTGCCGACCTTCATAGGCGCTGCTGCTAACAGCACTTGGCCCAACAGTCTGTTAAGGCTACACGGGGGACCTTTTTATTTTGTGTGTGAGTGTATGTGCGTGTGTATGTGTGTGTTCGTGCGTGTGTGTTCGTGCGTGGTGTACATGTGTGTGCGTGTGTGTGCGTGTTTTGTGTGTGTGCGTGTGTGTGCGTGTTCGTGTGTATGCATGTGTGTATGTGTGTGCATGCACGTATGTGTGCGCGTGTGTACGTGTGTGTGTGCGTGTATGTACGTGTATGTGTGCGCATGTGTGTACGTGTGTGTGTGTGTACGTGTGTCTGTGTGTGTGTGCGTGCGTGCGTGTACGCGTACGTGTGTGTGTGCGTGTGTGTACGTGCGTGTACGTGCGTGTGTGTGCGTGTGTGTACGTGTGTGCGCGTGCGTATACGTGCGTGTGTACGTGTGTGTGTGTACGTGTGTACATGTATGTGCGTGTGTGCGTGTGTGCGTGCGTGTGTGCGCGTGTGTGCGTGTGTGTGCGTGTGTACGTGCGTGCGTGTACATGTATGTGCGTACGTATGTGTGCGTGTGCGCGTGTGTGTGTGCGCGTGTGTGTGTGTACGTGTGTGTGTACGTGTGTGTGTACGTGCGCGTGTGTGTGTACGTGCGCGTGTGTGTGCGTGCGTGTACGTTGTGTATGTGTCTGTGCGTGTGTGCGCGTGTGTACGTTGTGTGTACGTGTGTTGCGTGTGTGTACATGTCTGTGTGTGTACGTGTGTACGTGCGTGTGTACGTGTGTGTACGTGTGTGCGTGTGTGTACATGTCTGTGTGTGTACTGTGTGCGTGTGCGTACGTGTGTGTGTGCATGCGTGTGTGTGTTACGTGCGTGTGTGTGTGCGCGTGTGTTAGTGTACGTGTGTGTGTGCATGCGTGTGTGTACGTGTGTGTGCATGCGTGTGTGTGTGCGCGTGTTAGTGTACGTGTGTGTGTGCATGCGTGTGTGCGTGCGTGCGTGTACGTGTGTGTACGTGCGTGTGTACATGTACGTGCGTGTGTGTGTGTACGTGTGTACGTGTGTGTGTACATGCGTGTGTACGTGCGTGTGTGCGTGTGTGTGTACGTGTGTGCATGTGCATGCGTGTGTGTGTGTGTACGTGTGTGTGCGTGTGTGTGCGTGTGTGCGTGTCACCCATGTTCCAGGTGCCGATGAGATGGGATGAGGTCCGGCTCGTCCTGGCGGGAGTGCCGCGACTTCATCTGCTGCATCAGCTGGCAGAACGCCTCGCGCTTCTGTCCCCCCCACCCCCACACACACACAGACAGAGGTCCCCCAGGTAGCCTCTTAACACACTGCCGGGCAAGTGCCGTTGGCGAGTAAGAGCATCTACGAAGGCCGGGACGGCGCACGAGCGCCCGGGAGTGGCTGGAAGCACGCCCGGCCGCCGCTGTGTTTACGTGCGTGTCTGTGTGTGCGTAGAGGTGTTACGGGAGGGCGAACAAACACACCGGGCGTGGTTGTGCCCGCACGCAGAAGGATGCTCACATCCACGTCCACACCGTTTAGCCTGGGGCTGTGACGGCGCTGTCATCCCCCACGGCCCCACCCCTCGGGGGAGTTGCTATATAAGGCGGTGAGCCGGTGGGCTCGGGGTTCAGTGTTTAACTTTAACCAGTGAAGAAGGAAGACCGGCTAGATAGGCCCTGGGACTCCCCTGGATCGCTGTCCTTCTAAGGACCGACCAGGGCAAGCCAGTGGCGTGGCCCCGAGAGCCCAGAGCCGATGCTCTTGTAAGAGCCGGTCTGGTGACTCAGGGTGCCGTGATCCCAGCTTGGCCAGAGCTGGGTCAGCTCGCCTCCCCTAGCCTGGTAGTGGAGAACCTGGGAGTAGGCTAGCCGGTTAGAGTTACTGGGGTCTCCCTGTTAGACGGGTGAAGGGGCCGATACCCCTTCAGTGTTGTATATCTCGGCCTGTGTATACAACTGAAGTCAATAAAGAAGTGTGCCTCCGACTACGTCGTCCAAGCCTCCATGAACCTACTACATGTGTGAAGAACGCACAGATACAAAGACCCCCGGTGTAGCCTTTACAGGATGTTGGGGCAAGTGCTGCTAGCAAGCAGCACCTATGAAGACCGACACGGCACACGGGGAGGTGGGTGGCTACACCACGCCCGCCGCCTTTGTCTCCCCAGTGGCGATTATTACGACACACCGCACCGGTACTCATGAGATGAGTCGACCTAGGGGAGGCCCAGGACCGGTTCAGATACTCGCCCCCCTCAGTGTGTGAATCTGCCTCCCCAGCCGTTGACCTCGCCGCACGTCGCCGCCCTCCGCCGGAGTGTGCCGAGCACCGAGGGGAGCGCCGAGGGAGTGCCGAGGTGAGTGCCGAGGTGAGTGCCGAGGTGAGTGCCGAGGGGAGGGCCGAGGGGAGCCCGAGGTGAGTGCCGAGGGGAGCGCCGAGGGAGCGCCGAGGTGAGTGCCGAGGGGAGCGCCGAGGGGAGCGCCGAGGTGAGTGCCGAGGGGAGCGCCGAGGTGAGTGCCGAGGGGAGCGCCGAGGTGAGTGCCGAGGGGAGCGCCGAGGGGAGCGCCGAGGTGAGTGCCGAGGTGAGCGCCGAGGTGAGCGCCGAGGTGAGCGCCGAGGGGCGCCGAGGGAGCGCCGAGGTGAGCGCCGAGGGGAGCGCCGAGGTGAGCGCCGAGGTGAGCGCCGAGGAGTGCCGAGGGGAGTGCCGAGGTGAGTGCCGAGGTGAGTGCCGAGGGGAGTGCCGAGGTGAGTGCCGAGGTGAGTGCCGAGGTGAGTGCCGAGGTGAGCGCCGAGGGGAGCGCCGAGGTGAGCGCCGAGGTGAGTGCCGAGGGAGCGCCGAGGTGAGCGCCGAGGTGAGTGCCGAGGGGAGTGCCGAGGTGATGCCGAGGTGAGTGCCGAGGTGAGTGCCGAGGTGAGCGCCGAGGGGCGCCGAGTGAGTGCCGAGGTGAGTGCCGAGGGAGCGCCGAGGTGAGCGCCGAGGTGAGTGCCGAGGGGAGTGCCGAGGTGAGTGCCGAGGTGAGTGCCGAGGGGAGTGCCGAGGTGAGCGCCAAGGTGAGTGCCGAGGGGAGTGCCGAGGTGAGTGCCGAGGTGAGTGCCGAGGTGAGTGCCGAGGGGAGTGCCGAGGTGAGCGCCGAGGTGAGCGCCGAGGTGAGTGCCGAGGGGAGTGCCGAGGGGAGCGCCGAGGTGAGTGCCGAGGGGATGCCGAGGGAACGCCGAGGGAGCGCCGAGCCGAGGGGAGCGCCGAGGGGAGCGCCGAGGGAGTGCCGAGGGAGCGCCGAGGGGAGCGCCGAGGGAGCGCCGAGCAGAGTGCCGAGGGGAGCGCTCACCCGGGGGCTGGCGAAGGCGTAGTCCCTGCGCTGCGTGCGCTCGCGCTCCAACACGATGCCCAGCTTGGACTGCGCCCGCTGGGACTTGATCAGCTGGCGCACTGTGCACAGCAAAACAGGTGAGACCCCACGCACACACACCACACACACCACCACACCCCCACACACACGCAGCCACACACACACCCCACACACACACACACCCCGCCACACGCACCACACACCCCCACGCACACACACCCCGCCACACGCCCCACACACACACACACCCCGCCACACACCCACACACACACACACCCCACACACACAGACACACACACACCCCACACACCCCCCATCCTCCTCCACACCCCCCACGCACACACCCCCACACACAGCCACACACACCCCCACACACCCCCCATCCTCCTCACACACCCCCCACACACACACACACCCCACACACACAGCCACACACCCCCCCACCACACCCCATCCTCCTCACACACACACACACCCCACACACCAGACACACACACACACCCCACACACCCCACACACACCCACACCCCACACACACCCCACCACACACACACCCCCCACCACCCACCACACCACCACCCCACCACACCCCCACACGCTCCCACCACACACACCCCACCCCACACACACACCCCCACACACACACTCCCCACACACACCCCCCCACACCTCCTCCTCCTCCTCCCCCCTCCTCCTCCCCCCTCCTCCTCCTCCCCCCCTCCTCCTCCCCCCCCTCCCTCCTCCCCCCTCTCCTCCCCCCCCCTCCTCCTCCCCCCTCCTCCTCCCCCTCCTCCTCCTCCCCCCCCTCCTCCTCCCCCCTCTCCTCCCCCCCCCTCCTCCTCCCCCCCCCTCCTCCCTCCCCCCTCCTCCCCTCCTCCTCCCCCCCTCTCCTCCTCCTCCCCCCCCCCCCCCCTCCTCCCCCCCCTCCTCCTCCCCCTCTCCTCCTCCCCCCCTCCTCCCTCCTCCCCCCTCCTCCTCCCTCCCCCCTCCCCTCCCCCTCCCCCCCTCCTCCTCCCCCCCCCTCCTCCTCCTCCCCTCCCCCCCCTCCCCCCCTCCTCCTCCCCCCCTCTCCTCCTCCTCCTCCCCCCCCTCCTCCTCCCCCCTCCTCCTCCTCCCCCCTCCTCCTCCTCTCCCCCTCCTCCCCCTCCTCCTCCCCCCCTCCTCCCTCCCCTCCTCCCCCCTCCTCCTCCTCCCCCTCCTCCTCCTCCCCCCTCCTCCCCCCTCCTCCTCCTCCCCCCTCCTCCTCCTCCCCCCTCCCTCCTCCCCCCTCTCCTCCTCCCCCCTCCTCCTCCTCCCCCTCCTCCTCCTCCCCCCTCCTCCCTCCCTCCCCCCCCTCCTCTCCTCCCCCCCTCCTCCTCCTCCTCCCCCCCTCCTCCTCCTCCCCCCCCCCTCCTCCTCCCCCCCCTCCTCCTCCCCCCTCCTCCTCCTCCTCCTCCTCCCCCTCCTCCTCCTCCCCCCTCCTCTCCTCCTCCCCCCTCCCTCCTCCTCTCCCCTCCCCCCCTCCTCCTCCCCCCCCTCCTCCCCTCCTCCTCCCCTCCCCCCCTCCTCCTCCCCCCTCCTCCCCTCCTCCTCCCCCCTCCCCCCTCCTCCTCCCCCCCTCCTCCTCCTCCTCCCCCCCTCCTCCTCCCCCCCTCTCCTCCTCCCCCTCCTCCTCTCCCCCCCTCCTCCTCCTCCCCCCCCTCCTCCTCCTCTCCCCTCCTCCTCCCTCCCCTCCTCCTCCTCCCCCCCCCCCTCCTCCTCCCCCCCCTCCTCCTCTCCCCCCTCCTCCTCCTCCCCCCTCCTCCTCCCCTCCTCCCCCCCTCCTCCTCCCCCCCCTCCTCCTCCTCCCCTCCTCCTCCCCCTCCTCTCCCCCCCCTCCCCCTCCTCCCCCTCTCCCTCCCCCCTCCCCCTCTCCTCCTCCCCCCCTCTCCCCCTCTCCCCCCCCCCCCTCCTCCCCCCCCCCTCCTCCTCCTCCTCCTCCTCCCCCCCTCCTCCTCCTCCCCCCCCCCCTCCCTCCTCCCCCCTCCTCCTCCCCCTCCTCCTCCCCCCCCCTCCTCCTCCCCTCCTCCCCCCTCCTCTCCTCCTCCCCCCCCCCCTCCCCCCCCTCCTCCTCCTCCTCCTCCCCCCCCTCCTCCTCCTCCCCCCTCCTCCTCCTCCTCCCCCCCCCTCCTCCCCCTCCTCTCCCCCCCTCCCCCTCCTCCCCCCTCTCCCTCCCTCCTCCCCCCTCTCCCTCCTCCTCCCCCTCTCCCCCTCCCCCCCCTCCTCCCCCCCCTCCTCCTCCTCCTCCTCCCCCCTCCTCCTCCTCCCCCTCCCCCCCCTCCTCCTCCTCCCCCCCCCCCCCCTCCCTCCTCCCCCCCTCTCCTCCTCCCCCCTCCTCCTCCCTCCCCTCCTCCTCCTCCTCCTCCTCCTCCTCCCCCCCTCCTCCTCCTCCTCCCCCCCCTCCTCCTCCTCTCCCCCCTCCTCCTCCTCCTCCTCCCCCCCCCCTCCTCCTCCTCCCCCCTCCTCCTCCCCCTCCCCCCTCCTCCTCCTCTCCCCCCTCCTCCCTCCTCTCCCCTCCTCCCCCCTCCTCCTCCTCCCCCCCCTCCTCCTCCTCCTCCCCCCTCCTCCTCCTCCCCCTCCTCCTCCTCCCCCCCTCCCTCCTCCTCCTCCCCCCTCCTCCTCCTCCTCCCCCCTCCTCCTCCCCCCCCTCCTCCTCCTCCTCCCCCTCCTCCTCCTCCCCCCCCTCCTCCTCCTCCTCCCCCCCTCCTCCTCCCCCCCCTCCTCCCTCCCCCCCCTCCCTCCTCCCCCTCTCCCCCCTTCCTCCCCTCCCCCCCCTCCCTCCCCCTCTTACTCCACCCACCTCCCCACTCTCCCCCTCCCCTCCCTTCCTCCCACCCTCATTCTTCATCCAACCCCCCCTGCTCCCCCCCCCTCCTCCTCCTCCACCCCCCTCCTCCTCTCTCCCCCCCCCCCCTCCCTCCTCCCCCCCCTCCTCCCCCCCCCTCCTCCTCCCCCCTCCTCCTCCTCCTCCCCCCCCCTCCCCCTCCACCTCCTCACCTTTGTCGTGTGGGAAGATGAGCACCTCCTCGGCCGACTCCTTGTTCTTGCGCAGCACGAGGAGTCGCCCCCCCTCCACGTCCACCTGCAGCTCGTAGCGCTGCGACTTGCCGATCTTCGCCAGGTCGGCCAGACCCACGTCTAGCTTGACCTGCAGCACGCACACGCAATGCACACACGCACACATACGCACACACACACACACGCACACCCACACGTACACACACGCACGCACACATACACGCACACACACGCACGCACACACACACGCACACACACACACACGCACACACACACGCACACACACACACACACACGCACTGCGCGCGCACACACACACGCACACACACACGCACACACACAAACGCACACACACACGCACACACACACGCACGCACGCACACACGCACACACACACGCACGCACACACACACACGCACACACACACACGCACGCACACACACACACACGCACACACACACGCACGCACACACACGCGCACACACACACACGCGCACACACACGCACACAACACACACACGCACACACACGCGCACGCACGCACACACACGCGCACACACACACATGCACACACACACGCACCCACACACACACGCACCCACACACACACGCGCACACACGCACACAGACGCACACACGCACACACACACACGTGGGTTACGGCGAGCGAGAGTGGAGGAGCGACGCTCACAACAATGAGCGGAGCGCCGGGTGGCTAAAGCACAGCAAGTTGGTACCGGAAGGGGGCACAGGTGGTGCATCAGCCAGTCATCTCGGTCGTCTCAGTCAGTCGACCCGTGGCACCTGCTGGGTCTGCCCCGTGACCTCCTGCCAGCGGGCGTTCGACACTTCACGTGGCCTCAAGGTGCACATGGCCTGGCACAAGCGTCGTGGTGACGTCACCGCGATTTAGTGACGAATGGCGGTTGTTGTTGCTATGGTGACCCGAGTTCGATTCCCCCAACACGAGCGGCAATTATCTGAACCGGTCCTGGGCCTCCCCTAGGTCGAGCCAGCCTCAAATGGGTACCTGGTGCGGTGCGTAGTAAACATCGCCACTGGGGAGACAAAGGCGGCCGGGCGTGGTGCTGGCCACCCACCCCCTCGTGTGCCGTGCCGGCCTTCACAGGTGCTACTCGCTAACAGCACTTGCCCCTACAGTCTGTTACAGGCTACGCGGGGGACCTTTGTCTTTCTGAGTGAGCAGCACACGTGGTGCACTTGCCGGTCATCTCGGTCAGTCAATCCATGGCACCCATAGCACCTGGCTCTGTCCAGTGACCTGCTTGTGCACCTAGCCTGGCACAGCAGTCAACTCATGGTACCTGGGTCTGTCCCATAACCTCCTGCACCTAGCCTGGCACAGCAGTCAACCCATGGCACCTGGGTCTGTCCCGTGACCTCCTGCACCTAGCGTGGCACAGCAGTCAACCCACGGCACCTGGTCACGTGACTTCCTTATGCACCTAGCCTGGCACAGCAGTCAACCCAAGGCACCTGGTCACGTGACTTCCTTATGCACCTAGCCTGGCACAGGCGCCGTGGTGTCATCGCCGCCCCTTTGTGGCGAACGCCGATTGTTGTTGTGGTGGTGGTTGTTGTGGTTGTTGTGGTTGTTGTGGGTTGTACCTCAAACGTCTGTATGGGGATGAGCCGGAAGCGCCGCACCGTCTTGACGGGAGCCGGGCCCAGCGGGGGAGGGGGAGCCGGGTCCTGCAGGTACCTCAACACCTGACACACACAGACATCAACACACACACACAGACATCAACACACACACACACACACAGACATCAACACACACACACACAGACATCAACACACACACACACACATCAACACACACACAGACATCAACACACACACACACACATCAACACACACAATCAACACACAGACATCAACACACACACAGACATCAACACACACACAGACATCAACACACACACAGACATCAACACACACACATCAACACACACACAGACATCAACATACACACACAGACACCAACACACAGACACAGACACCAACACACATACACATCAACACACACACAGACATCAACACACAGACACAGACACCAACACACAGACACATCAACACACAAACAGACACATCAACACACACACAGACACATCAACACACACACAGACACATCAACACACACACAGACACATCAACACACACACAGACACATCAACACACACACAGACACATCAACACACACACAGACACATCAACACACACAGACACATCACACACACACATAGACAACACACACACACAGACATTAACACACACACAGACATCAACACACACACAGACATCAACACACATACACATCAACACACACACAGACAATTCAACATACACACAGACATCAACACACACACACATCAACACGCACACATACACATCAACACACACACAGACACATCAACACACACAGACACAACAACAATAACAACAACCACCATTCGCCACTAAGTGGTGGTGACGTCACCACGATGCTTGTGCCAGGCTATGTGCACGTTGAGGCCACGTGAGGTGTCAAACGTCCGCTGGCAGGAGGTCTCGGGACAGACCCAAGTATCATGGGTTGGCTGACTGAGATGACTGGTAGATGCACCACCAGCTGTACCCCCTACTGTGCCAACTTGCTGCATTTTAGCCGCTCCGCTCGTTGTTGTGAGCGTCGCTCCTCCGCCCTCCTTAATTGCTGGAGGGCGACTGCCTCCAACTGCCCAGTAGCGTCCTTCACGAGCCTCCTCCATCGAGGCCGATCTTGACACCGCTGGTACCAGTCGTCTGCAAGTCCACTCAGCTCCACATCCTCCTGTACCACATCAATCCATCTCTTCACCAGCCCATGCCGTGCCATTTAGAAGAAGCTGCTTGGGCATGCGGTGGCTGGGCATGCGGGCTACATGACCCAGCCAACGCAGCCTTGCCTGCCGGAGGATCTCACGGATGGGAATGTGTCCAGATCTTTCAAGGATTTGTGAGCTCCTCACACAATCCAGCCAGGTTAGACCCAGGATGGATCATAGGCAGGCCAGCCTAAATGTTTCTAACCGGCGCAGATGTTCCGTTAGAGGGGTCACACTTCACACATCAAAACCTGATACACAAACACCCAGCCACATCACACAGACACACACACAGACACACACACAGAGACACACACAGACAAACACACACACAGACACACCCAGCCACATCACACATACAGACACAAACACAGATGGACACACACATCAAAAACAAAGACAGACACATCATACACACACAGCCATATCACACAGACACATCACACAGACATACACACACACAGAAACATCACACACACACGCGCACAGAGACACACAAAGACAGAAATCCTCCATATAGCCTGAACAGACTGTTTGGGGCAAATGCTGTCAGCAAGCACCACAGACAAACACACACACACAGGCAGACACATCGCACATCAACACCTGGCACAGATACACACACACAGATGAACACATACACACATCAAACACAGACACACTTCACACGCACACGCACACACGCAGACACATCACACGCACACATCAAACACACACAGACACACATATCACACGTACGTGCGAGTGGTGGCCGCTGTGTGTGCGTGTGCGCTATTGCGTGCGTGAGTATGCGAGTGAGTGTGCGAGTGAGTGTGTGAGTGCGTGAGTGAGTGTGTGAGTGAGTGCGTGAGTGAGTGTGTGAGTGCGCGTGTGAGTGTTCGAGTGAGTGAGAGCACGTATTGAGCGTGTGAGTGCGTGTGTGAGTGCATGTGTGCGTGCGTGCGAGTGTGCTTGCGTTGCGCGTGTGTGCAGTGTGTGTGTGTGCGCGTGTGTGTGTGCGCGTGTGTGCGTGCGCGTGTGTGCGTGCGCGTGTGTGCGTGCGTGTGTGCGTGGGTGTGTGTGCGTGTGTGTGTGTGCGTGTGCGCGTGTGCGCGTGTGGGCGTGTGCGTGTGTGTGTGTGCGCGCGTGTGTGTGCGCGTGTGTGCGCGTGGGTGTGTGGCGTGTGTGTGCGTGTGTGTGCGTGTGTGTGTGCGTGTGTGTGTGCGTGTGTGTGTGTGCGCGTGTGTGCGTGTGCGTGTGTGTGCGTGTGTGCACGTGCGTGTGTGCGTGTGTGCGGTGTGTGCGTGTGTGTGCGCGTGTGTGCGTGCGTGCGTGTGTGTTGCGTGTGTGTGCGCGTGTGTGTGTGCGTGTGTGTGGGTGCGTGCGTGCGTGGGTGCGTGTGTGGTGCGTGTGTGTGTGTGTATGTGTGTGTGTGTGTGCGTGTGTGTGTGTGCGTGTGTGTGTGCGTGTGTGCGTGTATGTGTGTGCGTGTATGTGTGTGTGTGCGTGTGTGTGCGTGTGTGTGTGCGTGTGTGTGTGTGCGTGTGTGCGTGTGTGCGTGTGTGTGTATGTGTGTATGTGTGTGCGTGTGTGCGCGTGTGTGTGCGTGTGTGTGTGTGTGTGTGCGTGTGTGCGTGTGCGTGTGTGCGTGGGTGTGCGCGTGTGTGTGTGCGTGTGTGTGTGCGTGTGTGCGTGGGTGTGCGCGTGTGTGTGCGTGTGTGCGTGCGTGCGTGCGTGGGTGTGCGCGTGTGTGTGTGCGTGTGTGTGTGCGTGTGTGTGTGCGTTTGTGCGTGGGTGTGCGCGTGTGTGTGTGCGTGTGTGTGCACCGGGCAGAGATGATCTCCCAAGCGAAATGCTGAGGGAGGGTGGCGTTTGTGCACAGACTGCCCTATATGACATCATAACAGTCTGGACCACTGGACGGGTTCCGCAGGACTGGAAGGATGCCCTGGTGGTCCCCCTCTTTAAGAAGGGGGACCGTACCGACTGTAACAACTACAGGGGCATCTCACTCCTCAGTGTGCCGGGTAAGGTCCTGGCAAGGATTATTCAACATCGCCTTGCTAGGCACCCTGAGGAGAGGCTTGCGGAGCCCCAATGCGGTTTCAGGAAAGGGCGGTCCTGCACAGATGCCATATTTTCTGTCCGTCTGCTACAGCAGAGGTGTAGGGAATTCCAAAAAGACCTACATCTCTGCTTTATTGACCTGGTCAAGGCCTATGATACCATCAGTAGGACTGGGCTCTGGGTTGTTCTTCGTGCTTTCGGAGTCCCTGACCCTCTGCTCACGATCATTAAAGACCTTCATGATGGTGAGCGGGCCCGGGTAAAACTACGTGGCCGGGAGTCGGAGCCTTTCCCTGTACACCTTGGGGTGCGACAGGGATGTCCTCTGGCTCCCACATTATTTAACATCTATTTGACCGCGTAGTTCGTGAAGCCTTCAATAGCTGTACCGGGGGAATTTCCATTTGGTACAGATATAATGGGAGGCTGATCGATGCCCGGGTGCGATCAAGGGATGGCTCCCTATTGGTCAACCACGTTATGTATGCCGATGATTTGGTAATAGCTGCTCATTCAGAAGAGGAGTTGGAGACGCTGCTGCTGAGACTGGAGTGTGCCACTAAGAGGTGGGGCCTTACCATCAGCCCCACCAAAACTAAGCACCTGCCTGGGTATTTTGTACCATCGGACACTCCACCCCCACAACTCCCAATTGGTGATGGGGCAGTTGTGGAGAGAGTGGAGAGTTTCCCATACCTGGGCAGTGTGCTTATGACCGGCTCCAGTTTATCAGCAGAGGTCTCACTCCGAATCAGTCGAGCGGCAATATCTTTTCATCGGTTGCGTAACGCTGTGTGGAAGCTACCTGGTCTGTCGCTCCGCACGAAGCTTCAGGTCTTCTCGGCCACGGTCATTCCCTCCCTTCTCTACGCTTGCGAAACGTGGACCCCCCTGGTGGAGCATCTTCGCCGGTTGGAAACATTTAGGTTGGCCTGCCTACGATCCATCTTGGGTTTAACCAGGCTGGATTGTGTGAGGAGCTCACAAATCCTTGAAAGATCTGGGCAAAGTCCCATCAGTGAGCTCCTCCGGCAGGCAAGGCTGCGTTGGCTGGGTCATGTAGCCCGCATGCCCAGCCACCGCATGCCTAAACAGCTTTTGTTCGGCCGGATCGAGGGGGCTAGACGGGCGCGGCACGGGCTGGAGAAGAGATGGAGTGATGTGGTACAGGAGGACGTGGAGCTGAGTGGACTTGCCGATGACTGGTACCAGCGGTGTCAAGATCGGCCTCAGTGGAGGAGGCTCGTGAAGGACGCTACTGGGCAGTTGGAGGCAGTCGCCCTCCAACAACAACGGAGGGCGGAGGAGCGACGCTCACAACAACGAGCGGAGCGCCGGGTGGCTAAAGCACAGCAAGTTGGTACAGTAGGGGGCACAGGTGGTGCATCAGCCAGTCATCTCGGTCATCTCGGTCAGTCGACCCGTGGCACCTGGGTCTGCCCCGTGACCTCCTGCCAGCGGGCGTTCGACACTTCACGTGGCCTCAAGGTGCACTTGGCCTGGCACAAGCATCGTGGTGACGTCACCGCCACTTAGTGGCGAATGGCGGTTGTTGTTGTTGTTGTGTGCGTGTGTGCGTGGGTGTGCGCGTGTGTGTGCGCGTGTGTGTGTGCGTGTGTGCGTGTGTGTGCGCGTATGTGCACGACTTGGCCACCTTCTTCTCGGTGCCGGAGAAGACGTCGCGCAGAGAGGCGAGCTTCAGCAGCAGCAGCTCTAAGTCACCCTCCTGAGACACGGGGAGACACGGGGAGACACGGGGAGACACGGGGAGACACGGAGAGACACGGGGAGACACGGGGAGACACGGGGAGAGACGGGGAGACACGGGAGACACGGGGAGACACGGGGAGACACGGGGAGACACGGGGAGACCGGGGAGACACGGGGAGACACGGGGAGACACGGGGAGACACGGGGAGAGACGGGGAGACACGGGGGAGAAGGGGCATGGGGAGACACGGGGAGACACGGGGAGACACGGGGAGACACGGGGAGACACGGGGAGAGACAGGGGCATGGGGAGACACGGGGAGACACGGGAGACACCGGGAGACACGGGGAGACACGGGGAGACACGGGGAGACACGGAGAGACACGGGGAGGAGACAGGAGCATGGGGAGACACGGGGAGACACGGGGGAGACACGGGGAGAGACGGGGAGACACGGGGAGACACGGGGAGACACGGGGAGACACGGGGAGAGACAGGAGCATGGGGAGACACGGGGAGACACGGGGAGACACGGGGAGACACGGGGAGACACGGGGAGAGACAGGAGCATGGGGAGACACGGGGAGACACGGGGAGACACGGGGAGACACGGGGAGACACGGGGAGAGATGGGGAGACACGGGAGACACAGAGAGACACAGAGAGACACGGGGAGACACGGGGAGACACGGGGAGACACAGAGAGACACGGGGAGACACGGGGGAGACACGGGGAGACAGAGAGACACAGAGAGACACGGGGAGACACGGGGAGACACGGGGAGACACAGAGAGACACAGAGAGACACGGGGAGACACGGGGAGACACGGGGAGACACGGGGAGACACAGAGAGACACGGGGATTCACCGGGAGACACGGGGAGACACGGGGAGACACGGGGAGAGATGGGGAGACACGGGGAGAGACAGAGGCATGGGGAGAGACGGGGAGGACACGGGGAGACACGGGGAGACACAGAGAGACACGGGGATTCACCGGGAGACACGGGGAGACACGGGGAGACACGGGGAGAGATGGGGAGACACGGGGAGAGACAGAGGCATGGGGAGAGACGGGGAGACACGGGGAGACAACGGGGAGACACGGGGAGACACGGGGAGACACGGGGAGAGATGGGGAGACACGGGGAGAGACAGAGGCATGGGGAGAGACGGGGAGACACGGGGAGACACGGGGAGACAACGGGGAGACACGGGGAGACACAGAGAGACACGGGGAGACACGGGGAGACACGGGGAGACACGGGGAGACACGGGGAGACACAGAGAGACACGGGGAGACACGGGGAGACACGGGGAGACACAGAGAGACACAGAGAGACACGGGGAGACACGGGGAGACACGGGGAGACACAGAGAGACACGGGGAGACACGGGGAGACACGGGGAGACACGGGGAGACACGGGGAGACACAGAGAGACACGGGGAGACACGGGGAGACACGGGGAGACACAGAGAGACACGGGGAGACACGGGGAGACACGGGGAGACACAGAGAGACACAGAGAGACACGGGGAGACACGGGGAGACAGGGGGAGACACAGAGAGACACGGGGATTCACCGGGAGACACCGGGAGACACGGGGAGACACGGGGAGACACGGGGAGACACGGGAAGACACGGGGAGACACGGGGAGAGATGGGGAGACACGGGGAGAGACAGAGGCATGGGGAGAGACGGGGAGAGATGGGGAGACACGGGGAGACACAGAGGCATGGGGAGAGACGAGGAGAGCCGGGAGACACGGGGACATGCGTGAGACACGCGGCGTGGACGTGAGGATACAAGGACAAGAGAGCACGCAGGGCTGGTGCGTCTGTACCGCGCGTGCATGTATGTGCGTACGTGTTTGTACATGCGTGTATGTGTGTGTACGTGCGTGCGTGTACGTGCGTGCACGTGCGTGCACGTGCGTGTACGTGAGTGTACGTGCGTGCGTACGTGTGTATGTGCGTGCGTGTGTGTGTGTACGTGCATGTGTACGTGTGTACGTGTGTGTGTGTGTACGTGTGTACGTATGTGTACGTGTGTGTGTGTGTGTGTGTGCGTGTGTACGTGTGGTAAGTGTGTGTGTGTGTGTACGTGCGTGTACGTGTGTGTGTGTGTGCGTGTGTACGTGTGTGTGTAAGTGTGTGTGTGTGTACGTGTGTAAGTGTGTGTGTGTGTACGTGCGTGTACGTGTGTGTGTAAGTGTGTGTGTAAGTGTGTACGTGTGTGTGTAAGTGTGTGTGTGTGTACGTGTGTAAGTGTGTGTGTGTACGTGTGTAAGTGTGTGTGTGTGTGTACGTGTGTAAGTGTGTGTGTGTGTGTACGTGTGTAAGTGTGTGTGCGTGCGTGCCTGTGCACTGGGAGGGGGGCTGCCCCTCTTCGCCGCCCTCCCCAGCGGGGTGCCGGGCGGCGCCTCGAACAGCCGCCCCAGCGCCTCCAGGCCCTGCAGCAGCGAGTTCAGCTCACTGCACACACACACACATCACACACACATCACACACACACATCACACACACACAGACACACACACACACAGACACACAAATATAAAGATCCCCCGTATAGCCTTAACAGACTGTAGGGGCAAGTGCTGTTAGCGAGCACCTATGAAGGTCGGCTTGGCACACGAGGGGGTGGGTGGCCAGCACCACGCCCGACCGCCTTTGTCTCCCCAGTGGCGATGTTTAAACATCGCACCAGGTATTCATTTGAGGCCGAGTCGACCTAGGGGATGCCAAGGACCGGTTCGGATAATCGCCACTGGTGTTTGTGGCCGTGAGCGGGAATCGAACTCGCGTCGCCGGGTTCGTAGCACAGCGTAGCGCTAACGCACACACACACAATCATACACAACCACACACACAATCACACACACACACAACCACACACACGCACAACCACACACACGCACAACCACACACACGAACAACCACACACACACAACCACACACACGAACAACCACACACACGCACAACCACACACACGCACAACCACACACACGCACAACCACACACAACCACACACACAAACAATCACACACACACACAACCAGACACACGCACAACCATACACAACCACACACACGCACAACCACACACACACAACCATACACAACCACACACACACACAACCACACACACACGCACACACAACCACACATACACACACAACTACCCACACACACACACGCACACACAACCACACACACACACACAACTACCCACACACACACACAACCACACACACACACAACCACACACACGCACACACAACCACACACAACCATACGCACAAACAACCACACACGCACACACAAGCATACACACACAACCACACACACAACCACACACACAACCACACACACACAGCCACACACGCACACACACAACCACATACATGGGATCCACACCGTGTAGACACCACCACCACAGCCACGACCACCACCGCCACCACCACCACCATCACCACCACCATCACCACCACCACAGCCACGACCACCACCACCACCGCCATCACCACTGTGCCATCTCTGCCTAGCATCACCACCACCACCATCACCACCATGCCATCTCTGCGTAGCGTCACCAACGTCACCACCGCCACCACCATCACCGCCACCACCACCACCGCCACCACCACCATCACCACCACCATCACCGCCATCACCGCCACCACCACCGCCACCACCGCCACCACCGCCACCACCACCATCACCACCACCACCCGCACCACCGCCACCACCGCCACCACCTACAACAACGGAGTGATGCCGTTGTTGTTTATCTCTCTGTGTCTATGTGTCTCTCTGTGTCTCTGTGTGTCTGAATGTATCTCTACGTATCTCTATGTGTCTCTATGTATCTCTCTGTGTCTATGTGTCTCTCTGTGTCTCTGTGTGTCTGAATGTATCTCTATGTGTCTCTATGTGTCTCTGTGTGTCTCTGTGTGTCTCTATGTGTCTCTGTGTGTCTCTGTGTGTCTCTGTCTCTGTGTCTCTGTGTCTCTATGTATCTCTAAGTGTCTCTGTGTATCTCCATGTGTATGGATGTATCTCTATGTGTATGAATGTATCTCTACGTTTCTTTATGTCACGTTGAGTACTGAGTGGTGAGTGTTGAGTGGTGAGTGTTTAGTGGTGAGAGTTGAGTGGTGAGTGTTTAGTGGTGAGTGTTGAGTGGTGAGTGTTTAGTGGTGAGTGTTGAGTGGTGAGTGTTTAGTGGTGAGTTCAGCTGTGAGTGCTGAGCGGTGAGTGTTTAGTGGTGAGTATTGAGTGGTGAGTGTTTAGTGGTCAGTTGAGCGGTGAGTGTTGAGTGGTGAGCAGTGTGTGGTGAGTTGAGCGGTACGTGTTGAGTGGTGAGTTGAGTGGTGAGTGTTGAGTGGTGAGTCTTGCGGAGTGAGTGATGAGTGTTGAGTGGTGAGTCTTGCGGAGTGAGTGTTGAGTGGTGAGTGTTGAGTGGTGAGTGTTGAGTGGTGAGTGTTGCGGAGTGAGTGTTGAGTGGTGAGTGTTGCGGAGTGAGTGTTGAGTGATGAGTGGTGAGTGCTGAGCAATGGGAATTGAGTGACCGCAATAGGAATGCGTGTGTGTGCGCGCGTGTGCGCGTGTGCGTGTGTGCGTGTGTGTGTGCGCGCGTGTGTGTGCGCGCGTGTGCGTGCGGATGTGTGTGCGCGTGTGTGCGTGTGTGCGTGTGTGCGTGTGTGCGTGTGTCTGGGGAGCGGTGGTGAAGCGGTTAGCATGCTGCGCTACGAACCCGGCCACCCGAGTTTAATTCCCGCTCATGCTCCACAGCAGCGATCATCCACTGTGCAACACAATTTGTGTTCCTGGGTAGTAAGTGTTATTTCTAAATTGCTTATGCCTCAAAAGTGCATAAAACGGCGATCATTCCACACAAACGTTGCTTTTGTGACCGGGAGTTTACGTGAAGCAATGACACAAATGCTCACCACGTGTTCTCTCACTGCCATATGTTCATTTCAAAATATCACCGTCCTGGTCACAAAAGCAAAGTTTGTGGGGAATAATAATAATCGCCGTTTTCTGTACTTTTGAGGCATAAGCAATTAGGAAATAACACTTACTACCCAGGGACAAAAAGTGTTTTTGTTCTATAGTTAATTATATTATCTGAACCGGTCATGGGCGCTGCCCTAGGTCGACTCAGCCTCAAACGAGTATCTGGATGCGGTGCGCAGTAAACATCGCCACTGGGGAGACAAAGGCGGCCGGGCGTGGTGCTGGCCACCCACCCCCTCGTGTGCCACAGTGCTGGCCCTCATAGGTGCTCGCTAACAGCACTTGCCCCGCAGTCTGTTTGAGGCTACACGGTCGGGACCTTTGTCTTTGTGGGGGAGGGTGTCACACAGGAAGTCGCGTGCTGATCCTGCAGCAGCAGCAGCTGCTGCTGCTACTGCCGGACAGAGTGCAGCTGTGTGCTGTGAACAACAACATCCCAGCCACGACGCACACACACACACACACATGCCCCACTGTGTGTGTGCGCGTGCGCCTTTGCCTGTGCGTCTGTCTGTCTGTCTGGGTGGCGTAGCCCCGCATGCCCAGCCACCGCATGCCCAAGGAGCTTCTGTTTCGCTCGGATAGATGGGGGCTAAACGGGCGCGGCACGGGCTAGAGAAGAGATGGAGTGATGTGGTACAGGAGGACGTGCAGCTGAGTTGACTTGCCGATGACTGGTACCAGCGGTGTCAAGATCGGCCTCTGTGGAGGAGGCTCGTGAAGGACGCTGCTACTGGGCAGTTGGAGGCAGTCGCCCTCCAACAACAACTGAGGGCGGAGGAGCGACGCTCACAACAACGAGCGGAGCGCCGGGTGGATTAAATACACTGAGGTGGTGCATCTGCCGCCCATCTCAGTCAGTCGACCCGTGGCACCACATGGGTCTGTCCGTGACCTCCTGCCAGCGGGCGTTCGACACTTCACGTGGCCTCAGAGTGCACCTGGCCTGGCACAAGCGCCGTGGTGACGTCACCGGCACTTGGTGGTGAAACGCGGCCGTCGATGTTGGGTCTGTCCGTCTCATTTGCTGGCTGATGCGTCTGACCGTGTAAACCAAGCGATGGTTCATGACACCGGCTAAGATCCACTCAGACAAGGCCGTAGCCATCCAGTCAACATTGGGGGGGACCAAATCAACCCAGAAAAAAATCTACATTTGAAAACGGATTTCCTGCCATTTCCTGCCTAAAATATTTTTAAAAATTCCCTAACATATGGGATGGACTTTTGATTTATTTTTTACAATAATGTCTATTAGTGTGTTGTATTAAAGTGCTCCGTAACCACAATCATATAAACAAAAATATATGCATTGATTTATATGAAGACAAGTCCAGATATTGTGGCCAAGGTTTAGCAAATTGTTGTTTTTATTTACATAGCATAGCAATTATTATTACTTATTTTATATTTTTATAGCAATATATTGGGGGGGGGGACATTTTGAGTATATTTGAATATTGGGTGGGGATGTCCCCCCCCCCAATATCTATTCTAATTACGACCTTGCACTCAGCTCTGTAGTTATTTCTTGTAGGAGCAGCCTGGCCACAAATGATGGCTCAACAAAGTGGATCATCGTCGTGTGTAAATTTACAGCGGCAGGCAAATGCCTCTAAACGCGTGGCGGTGGTGGCGGTGGTGGTGGTGGTGGTGGTGGTGGCGGTGGTGGTGACAGTGGTGGTGGATGCGGTGGTGGTGGTGGCGGTGGTGGTGGCAGTGGTGGTGGTGGTGGCCGGTGGCGGTGGTGGCGGTGGTGGTGGCGGTGGCGGTGGATGTGAAAGTGGAGGGTGAAACCGGAGGACCCGGAGAAAAAATCCACGCGACCACGGGGAGAGAGAGAGAGAGCATGCAGACTACAGCGCTACAGGCATCAGGGACGGGATCGAACCCACGATCTCCTGTATACCACGCGAGGGAGATAACATCTCCTAGCCACCGTGGCGACCGTGTCTGTCATCATGCGTGTGTGTGTGTGTCATCATGCGTGCGTGTGTGTGTCATCATGCGTGTGTGTGTCATCATCATGCGTGTGTGTGTGTGTGTGTGTCATCATGCGTGTGTGTGTCATCATCATGCGTGTGTGTGTGTGTGTCATCATGCGTGTGTGTGTCATCATCATGCGTGTGTGTGTGTCATCATGCGTGTGTGTGTCATCATGCGTGTGTGTGTGTCATCATGCGTGTGTGTCATCATGCGTGTGTGCGTGTGTCTGTCATCATGCATGCGTGTGTGTGTGTCATCATCCGTGCGTGTGTGTGTGTGTTTGTCATCATGCGTGCGTGTGTGTGTCATCATCCGTGCGTGCGTGTGTGTGTCTGTCATCATGCGTGTGTGTGTCTGTCATCATGCGTGTGTGTGTGTCTGTCATCATGCGTTTGTGTGTGTCATCATGTGTGTGTGTGTCTGTCATCATGTGTGTGTGTCTGTCATCATGCGTGTGTGTGTGTCTGTCATAGGTGCTTGCTAACAGCACTAGCCCCAACAGTCTGTTAGGGCTACACGGGGAATCTTTGTCTTTGTGTGTTGCCGCGTGTGTGCGTGTGTGTGTGTGTGCGTCTGTCACCGTGCGTGCGTGTGTGCGTCTGTCACCGTGTGTGTGTGCGTGCGTCTGTCACCGTGCGTGCGTCTGAATAAATCTCATCCATCAGCTCAGTGGGGGGCCGGGGGGGGGGCATCTCTTAACCCCACGGTCAAAACTTTCGCTGAGTAATTTATTTCTCTACGGCGGAACGCGGGGACGCGAAAACTCACGTGTGGCGGAGGTCTCTCTCACCGTGAACCATCCCCACCGATACAATTAGCCCACCGCCACCACCGGCACCACCACAATCGCCACCGCAACCACCGGCACCACCACAGCCACCACAACCACCACCACCCACCACAACCACCACCACGACGCTACGACAGGGCATCGCACGGCCCAGCGAGTGTACGCCACAGTGGCTAGGAGATGTTGACTACCTCGCCTGGTGTGCAGGAGGTCGTGGGTTCCATCCCGACCCTGCTGCTGCTGCTGATGCCATCACTGCTGCTGCTGCTGCAGCCACTGCTGATGTCATCACTGCTACTGCTGCTGCTACTGCTGATGCCATCACTGCTACTGCTGATGCTACTGCTGATGCCATCACTGCCGCTGCTGCTGCTACTGCTGATGCCATCACTGCTACTGCTGCCGCTGCTGATGCCATCACTGCTACTGCTGCCGCTGCTGATGCCATCACTGCTGCTGCTGATGCCATCACTGCTACCGCTGCTGCTGCTACTGCTGATGCCATCACTGCTGCTGCTGCTGCTACTGCTGATGCCATCACTGCTACTGCTGCTGATGCTACTGCTGCTGCAGCCGCTGCTGCCATCACTGCTGCTGCTGATGCCATCACTGCTACTGCTACTGATGCTACTGCTGCCATCACTGCTGCTGCTGATGACATCACTGCTGCTGCTGCTGCTGCTGCTACTGCTGATGCGGTCCATCCATCTGGCTGTCATCTGCTGTGCTCCACGCAACTGTGAACGTTCAATGCATGTCGATAAAGACAAAGATCCCCCAGATAGTCTCGGGCAGACTGTTGGGGCAAGTGCTGTTAGAGAACATCAGTGACGAAGGCCGGCAGGGCACACGAGGGGGTGGGTGACCAGCACCACGACCCGGCCGCCTTTGTCTCCCCAGTGGCGATGTTTACTACACACCGCACCAGATACTCATTGAAGGCTGAGTCGACCTAGGGCAGGCCTAATACTGGTTCAGATAATCGTCACTGCTGTTGACCCACTCACCCACTCACCCACCCACACACTCACCCACACACTCACACGCTCACCCACACACCCACCCACCCACTCACCCACCCACCAACCCGCACACTCACCCGCACACTCACCCGCACACTCACCCACTAACCCACACACCCACTCACCCACTCACCATCACCCCCCCCCCGACCCGCCCACCCACCCACCTGTGCAGGCGTCTGGAGGCGTTGAGGAAGAGCGCAGTGAGGTGGGGGAGGCCCCCCCCTGGCCCCCCCGCTGGGCCCCGCGCCACCTCCGTGTCCCCCGGCACGCCCTGGCACAGGTAGTCACCCACCAGTGCCGCCAGCTCGCTACCCACGCTGCAACAACAACAACCATCAACAACCATCAACAACAACAACCACCACAACCACAACAACCACCACACCCTGGCACAGGTAGTCACCCACCAGCCCCGCCAGCTCGCTACCCACGCTGCAACAACCACAACAACCATCAACAACCATCAACAACAACCACAACAACCACAACAACCACAACAACCATCAACAACAACCACAACAACCATCACCACAACCATCACGCCCTGGCACAGGTAGTCACCCACCAGCGCCGCCAGGTCACTACCCACGCTGCAACAACCACCACCACAACAACCACAACCATCAACACCACCACCACAACCACACAACCACAACTATCACAACCACCACAACCATCACCCACCACCACAACCATCAACACCACAACCACAACCACCATCACCACCACCACCATCAACACCACCACCACAATCATCAACACCACCACACAACCACCACAACCATCACCACCACAACCATGAACACCACCACCACCACAATAACCGCAACCATCAACCCCACCACACCACACAACCACAACCACCACAATCATCGCCCACCATCACCACCACAACAACCATCAACACCACAACCTCCACCACCACCACCCAATGTCCCCCATGTGCCCTCCCCTCCCCCCGTGCCCCCACCTGGCGGCCCCGGCCTCCTGCCATCGCTGCTGCAGCAGCAGCAGGGAGGAAGCCCCCCCACAGCGAGACGCCTCCGCAGTGGGGGGCCCAGTGGGGGGCCCAGTGGGGGGCCCCGCGGGGGGCCCAGTGGGGGGCCCTGCCGGAAACACGGCCCTGGGGGGCAGGGGGGGCCGCTCCTCCTCCACGTCTACACACACAGACACACAGACACACAGGTACACACACACACACAGACACACACACACACACAGACACACACACAGACACACACACAGACACACACACACAAAGACACACACACACAGACACACACACAGATACACACACAGACACACACACAGACACACATAGACACACACACACACAAAGACACACACACACGTGTTTGCATTATAATCTTCACCATCATCACATACATCACCATCTCACTCTCGTCCCCCCCCCGTGCCCCCCCCGCCCCCCCCCCGCCCCCCCGTGCCCCCCCCCGCCCCCCCCCCGCCGCCCCCCCGTGCCCCCCCCGTGCCCCCCCCCGTGCCCCCCCCCGCGCCCCCCCCGTGCCCCCCCCCCACCCCCCCCCGCGCCCCCTCCCGCGCCCCCCCCGCGCCCCCCCCGCGCCCCCCCCGCGCCCCCCCCCGCGCCCCCCCCGCGCCCCCCCCCACCTGAGTAGTCTCGCTCCTCGGGGCTCTCGGCGGGCCCCTCGCGCTCCACGGGGTAGAGCAGCGGGCACACGAGGCCCTGGCTGGGCTGCTGGTAGGTGGTCACCAGCTCCGTGAGGCTCGCAAAGCGGATCGTCTGCACGCCCTGCGACGTCTACGACATCGACGGCATCCACCACAGCATCAACATCAACTACAGCAACATCAACAACAGCATCAACAACTACAACAACAACTACAACAACATAAACAACATCAACATCAACTACAACATCATCCACCACAGCATCAACATCAACTACAGCAACATCAACATCAACTACATCAACATCAACTACATCAACTACAACATCATCCACCACAGCATCAACATCAACTACAGCAACATCAACATCAACAACATCAACTACATCAACATCAACTACATCAACTACAACATCATCCACCACAGCATCAACATCAACTACAGCAACATCAACATCAACAACAACATCAACATCAACTACAGCAACATCAACATCAACAACATCAACTACATCAACATCAACTACATCAACTACAACATCATCCACCACAGCATCAACATCAACTACAGCAACATTAACAACAACTACAACAACATCAACAACAGCAACAACAACATCATCAACATCAACTACATCATCCACCACAGCATCAACATCAACTACAGCAACAGCATCAACAGCATCAACAACATCAACAACAACATTAACAACTACAACATCATCAACAACAAAATCAACTACAGCATCATTAACAACAACATCATCAACATCATCAACAACATCAACTACAACATCATCATCAACATCAACTAAAGCAACATCATCAACAACAACATCAACAACAACATCATCAACAGTGGGGGGTTGAGGTGTGTAGCTGTCTTTAGGGTCAGGGGGTGAGTGGGGGCGATTTGGGGGGGATGAGTGTGGGGGGGGGGTGAGTGAGTGGGGGGTGAGTGAGTGGGGGTGAGTGAGTGGGGGGTGAATGAGTGGATGGGGTGAGTGAGTGGGGGGTGAGTGAGTGAGTGAGTGGGGGGTGAGTGGGGGTGAGTGAGTGAGTGGGGGTGAGTGAGTGAGTGGGGGTGAGTGAGTGAGTGAGTGGGGGGTGAGTGAGTGGGGGGTGAGTGAGTGAGTGAGTGGATGGGGTGAGTAAGTGAGTGAGTGGGGGGTGAGTGAGTGAGTGGGGGGTGAGTGAGTGGGGGTAAGTGAGTGAGTGAGTGAGTGGGGGTGAGTGAGTGAGTGAGTGGGGGGTGAGTGAGTGGGGGTGAGAGGGGGGGTGAGTGAGTGGGGGGTGAGTGGATGGAGTGAGTGGGGGTGAGTGAGTGGGGTGAGTGAGTGGGGGGGTGAGTGAGTGGGGGGTGAGTGAGTGGGGGGTGAGTGAGTGGATGGGGTGAGTGAGTGGGGGGTGAGTGAGTGAGTGGGGGTGAGTGAGTGAGTGGGGGTGAGTGAGTGGGGGTGAGTGAGTGAGTGAGTGGGGGTGAGTGGGGAGTGAGTGGATGAGTGAGTGGATGGGGTGAGTAGGTGGTGAGGGGGGGGTGAGTGAGTGGGGGGGGGTGAGTGGGTGGGGGGGGGGGTGAGTGAGTGGGGGGGTGAGTGGGGGGGGGGTCACACAGGAAGTGGAGTGTGACGCTCTCTTCCTGGAATGCGAGGACAATGCGAGGAAAACCCAGAGATCATCTCACTCACCAACACTCACCAACACTCACCATCACTCACCAACACTCACCAACACACACCAATACTACTCACCACTACTACTCACTTACCAACACTCACCAACACTCACCAATACTACTCACCATTACTACTCACTCACCAACACTCACCAACACTTACTCACCAACACTCACCATCACTCACCACTACTACTCACCATCACTCACCAATACTCACCAACACTCACTCACCATCACTCACCAACACTCACCATCACTCACCACTACTACTCACCAACACTCACCAACACTCACCAACACTCACTCACCATCACTCACCATCACTCACCAACACTCACCACTACTCACCAACAACACTCACCAACACTCACTCACCAACACTCACCATCACTCACCAATATTCACCAACACTCACCAACACTCACCATCACTCACCATCACTCACCAACACTCACCACTACTCACCATCACTCACCATCACTCACCATCACTCACATCACCAACACTCACCACTACTCACCAACACTCACCACTACTCACCAATACTCACCAACACTCACTCACCACTACTACTCACCACTACTCACCAATACTCACTCACTCACCAACACTCACCACTACTCACCCACCCACCAACACTCACTCACCAACACTCACTCACTCACCAACACTCACTCATTCACTCACCAACACTCACTCACCACTACTCACTCACCCACCAACACTCACTCACCAACACTCACTCATTCACTCACCAACACTCACCAATACACACTCACCAACACTCACCACTACTCACTCACCAACACTCACTCACCATCACTCACTCATCACTACTCACCAACACTTACCAATACTCACTCACCAATACTCACTCACCAACACATACTCACATACTCACTAATACACTCACATACACACTCACATCCTCATTAACATACACTCACTAATACACACACTCACACCCTGACTAATAGAAACTCACACCACACTCACATCATCACGAATACACAATCACACTCACAAAGATCCCCCGTGTAACCTTAACAGACTGTAGGGGCAAGTGCTGTTAGCGAGCACTTATGAAGGCCGGCACGGCACACGAGGGGGTGGGTGGCCAGCACCACGCCCGGCCGCCTTTGTCTCCCCAGTGGCGATGTTTACTACAGGTACTCTTTTGAGGCTGAGTCGACCTAGGGGAGGCCCAGGACCGGTTCAGATAATCGTCACTGGGTGTTGGTGGCCGTGAGCGGGAATCGAACTCGGGTGGCCGGGTTCGTAGCGCAGCGTGGAGCTATATGGGGGATCTTTAGCTTTGGATTTTGTCTTTCTGGTGGTTGTCATTGTGGTTGTGATTGTGGTGGTCGTTGTGGCCGTGGTGGTGGTGATTGTGGTGGTGATTGTGGTGGTCGTTGTGGCCGTGGTGGTGGTAGTGGTGATTGTGGTGGTGGTTGTGATTGTGCTGGTGGTTGTGGTGGTAGTTGTGATTGTGGTTGTGATGATTGTGGTGGTGATTATGGTGGTGGTTGTTATTGTGGTGGTGGTTGATTGTGGTGGTGGTTGTGGCGGTGGTGGTGATTGTTGATTGTGGTGGTGGTTGTGGCCCTGGTGGTGGTAGTGGTGATTGTGGTGGTGGTTGTGGTTGTGCTGGTGGTTGTGGTGGAAGTTGTGATTGTGGTTGTGATCATTGTGGTGGTGATTGTGGTGGTGATTGTGCTGGTGGTTGTGGTGGTAGTTGTGATTGTGGTTGTGATGATTGTGGTGGTGATTATGGTGGTGGTTGTTATTGTGGTGGTGGTTGATTGTGGTGGTGGTTGTGGCGGTGGTGGTGATTGTTGATTGTGGTGGTGGTTGTGGCCCTGGTGGTGGTAGTGGTGATTGTGGTGGTGGTTGTGGTTGTGCTGGTGGTTGTGGTGGAAGTTGTGATTGTGGTTGTGATCATTGTGGTGGTGATTGTGGTGGTGATTGTGGTGGTGATTGTGGTGGTGATTGTGGTGGTGGTTGTCATTGTGGTGGTGGTTGTGGTGGTGATGGTGGTTGTGGTGGTTGTTGTTGTTGTAGAAACAGGGGATCACCTGCACGGCCAGCGTTCCATCCTCATCTGGCAGGATACGGTAGGTGTGCACGTGGTTCTGGAACCTGGCCAGACACACACACACGCGTGTTACTACACACACACCCGCGTGTTACTACACACACGCGTGTTACTACTGCACACACGTGTTACTACACACACCCCTCCAGACACACAGACAGCCCCCCCCCCCCTCCAGACACACACCCCCTCCAGACAGAGACACACACCCCCCCCACACACACACACCCCCACATAGACACCCCCACAGACGCTCAGGCCAAAAGGAATCCCCCCAAGTTCCACCGAACCCCTCCCCCCCCCCAACCCCCCCCCCCCCCCCCCGTGAGTGACGCACCGCGACCCCCATCAGCTCACAGCAGCAGCAGGAGCAGCAGCCAGCGGCACTCCCTGCTTCCTGTTCCCACGCGCGTCTCCCCCCCTCCCTCTCCCTCCCTCCCCCCTCCCTCCCTCCCTCCCCCCTCCCTCCCCCTCCCCCCTCCCTCCCCCCCTCCCTCCCCCCCTCCCTCCCCCTCCCTCCCCCCTCCCTCCCCCCTCCCTCCCCCCTCCCTCCCCCCTCCCTCCCCCTCCCTCCCCCTCCCTCCCCCCTCCCCCCTCCCTCCCCCCTCCCTCCCCCCTCCCTCCCCCCTCCCTCCCCCCTCCCTCCCCCCTCCCTCCCCCCTCCCTCCCCCCTCCCTCCCCCCTCCCTCCCTCCCTCCCTCCCTCCCCCTCCCTCCTCCTCCCCCCTCCCTCCCTCCCTCCCTCCCTCCCTCCCCCCTCCCTCCCTCCCCTCCCCTCCCTCCCCCCTCCCTCCCCTCCATCCCCCCTCCCTCCTCCCTCCCCCCCTCCCCCTCCCCCCTCCCTCCGCCCCCTAACCCCCCATTCCCCCGTCTCTCCCCCCCCTCCCATCACCCCCCCCTCCCTCCAGCAGTGGGTAGAACACGGTCACCCGTGACGTGGCCAATTCGTAACGAGAACAGACCCAGTCTGGCTGTCGCCTGATGAAGCTGGTGCTGATTACTGGCGAAACGTCGAACTCGGGTGGTTAATGTCGTGGCTTGGCTCTCCAGCACACAACCAGTGTGCTGTACTAGTACACTACACTATACACTACACTATACACTACATTACTCTACACTACTATGCACTACACTATACACTACTATACACTACACTACTATACACCATACACTACACTACTATACACTACACTACTATACACTACACTATACACTACTATACACTACATTATACACTACACTATACACTACATTATACACTACACTACTATACACCATACACTACACTACTATACACTGCACTACTATACACTACACTATACACTACACTACTATACACTATACTATACACTACACTATACACTACACTATACACTACTATACACTACACTATATAATACACTATACTATACACTACACTATACACTATACTATACACTACATTATACACTACACCATATACTACACCATATACTACACTACTATACTACACTATACACTACACTATACACTACACTATACACTACACTACTATACACTACACTACTATACACTAAACACTAGTGCTGTACTAGTGACGAATTGTCCACGTTCTGTCTACGCGACAACCCTCACTAGTTGGCTGTGCCGGGTGGTGGCGCGTTTTAACGACACATTTATACACTTATGCGATCTAGCCACGTGTTCAACAGGCCACGTGTAGGAGCCTGCCACGTGTTCAACAGACCACGTGTTCAACAGGCCACGTGTTCAACAGGCCACGTGTTCAACAGGCCACGTGTTCAACAGGCCACGTGTTCAACAGGCCACGTGTTCAACAGGCCACGTGTTCAACAGGCCACGTGTAGCAGCCTGCCACGTGTTCAACAGACCACGTGGTGGAGCCTGCCACGTGTTCAACAGACCACGTGGTGGAGCCTGCCACGTGTTCAACAGACCACGTGGTGAAGCCTGCCACGTGTTCAACAGGCCACGTGGAGCAGCCTGCCACGTGTTCAACAGGCCACGTGGTGGAGCCTGCCACGTGTTCAACAGGCTACGTGGTGCAGCCTGCCACGTGTTCAACAGGCCACGTGGTGCAGCCTGCCTCCGGCTCGCGATGGGCCCAATGGAGACGAGCTTCCGGCGGTGAACTTGAGGAATGACAAACATTCCGACGATGTCACAAGGAGCCACGTGGTGGGGCGGGGGCAGGGGGCAGGTGGTGGTCTCAGGCCACTCACCCAGTGACTCACTCACGCAGACAAGCCACAGACTCATGCAGAGTCACGCAGAGACCCGTAGACTCACGCAGAGACCCATAGACTCACACAAAGACCCCGTAGACTCACACAGAGACCCATAGACTCACGCAGAGACCCATAGACTCACACAGAGACCCGTAGACTCACACAGACACCCATAGACTCACACAGAGACCCGTAGACTCATGCAGAGACCCATAGACTCACACAGTGGAGACCCATCGACTGACACAGAGACCCATAGACTCATACAGAGAACCGTAGACTCGCACAGAGACCCGTAGACTCACACAGACACCCATAAACTCACACAGACACCCATAGACTCGCACAGAGACCCGTAGACTCACGCAGAGACACATAGACGCATACAGAGACCCGTAGACTCACGCAGAGACCCGTAGACTCATACAGAGACCCGTAGACTCACGCAGAGACCCATAGACTCACACAGAGACCCGTAGAATCACACAGAGACCCAAAGTCTCACACAGAGACCCGTAGACTCATACAGAGACCCGTAGACTCACACAGAGACCCATAGTCTCACACAGAGACCCGTAGACTCATACAGAGACCCGTAGACTCACACAGAGACCCATAGACTCACACAGAGACCCGTAGACACATACAGAGACCCGTAGACTCACGCAGAGACCCATAGACTCACACAGAGACCCATAGACTCATACAGAGACCCATAGACTCACACAGAGACCCATAGACTCACACAGAGACCCATAGACTCACACAGAGACCCGTAGACTCACACAGAGAGCCGTAGACTCACACAGAGACCCGTAGACTCATACAGAGACCCGTAGACTCACAGAGACCCATAGACTCACACAGAGACCCGTAGACTCATACAGAGACCCGTAGACTCACGCAGAGACCCATAGACTCACACAGAGACCCATAGACTCATACAGAGACCCATAGACTCATACAGAGACCCATAGACTCACACAGAGACCCATAGACTCACAGAGACCCATAGACCCACACAGAGACCCATAGACTCACGCAGAGACCCATAGATTCACACAGAGACCCGTAGAATCACACAGAGACCCAAAGTCTCACACAGAGACCCGTAGACTCATACAGAGACCCGTAGACTCACACAGAGACCCATAGTCTCACACAGAGACCCGTAGACTCATACAGAGACCCGTAGACTCACACAGAGACCCATAGACTCACAAAGAGACCCGTAGACTCATACAGAGACCCGTAGACTCACGCAGAGACCCATAGACTCATACAGAGACCCATAGACTCACACAGAGACCCATAGACTCACAGAGACCCATAGACCCACACAGAGACCCATAGACTCACACAGAGACCCATAGACTCACACAGAGACCCGTAGAATCACACAGAGACCCAAAGTCTCACACAGAGACCCGTAGACTCATACAGAGACCCGTAGACTCACACAGAGACCCATAGTCTCACACAGAGACCCGTAGACTCATACAGAGACCCGTAGACTCACACAGAGACCCATAGACTCACAAAGAGACCCGTAGACTCATACAGAGACCCGTAGACTCACGCAGAGACCCATAGACTCACACAGAGACCCATAGACTCATACAGAGACCCATAGACTCACACAGAGACCCATAGACTCACACAGAGACCCATAGACTCACACAGAGACCCGTAGACTCACACAGAGAGCCGTAGACTCACACAGAGACCCGTAGACTCACACAGAGACCCATAGTCTCACACAGAGACCCGTAGACTCATACAGAGACCCGTAGACTCACACAGAGACCCATAGACTCACACAGAGACCCGTAGACTCATACAGAGACCCGTAGACTCACGCAGAGACCCATAGACTCACACAGAGACCCATAGACTCATACAGAGACCCATAGACTCATACAGAGACCCATAGACTCACACAGAGACCCATAGACTCACACAGAGACCCGTAGACTCACACAGAGACCCGTAGTCTCACACAGAGACCCGTAGACTCATACAGAGACCCATAGACTCATACAGAGACCCGTAGACTCACGCAGAGACCCATAGACTCACACAGAGACCCATAGACTCACACAGAGACCCGTAGACTCACACAGAGAGCCGTAGACTCACACAGAGACCTGTAGACTCGCACAGAGACCCATAGACTTACACAGAGACCCATAGACTCACACAGAGACCCGTAGACTCACACAGAGACCCATAGACTCACGCAGAGACCCATAGACTCACGCAGAGACCCATAGACTCACACAGAGACCCATAGACTCACACAGAGACCCGTAAACTCACACAGAGACACATAGACTCACACAGAGACCCATTGACACACGCAGAGACCCATAGACTCACGCAGAGACCCGTAGACTCACACAGAGACCCTTAGACTCACCCAGAGACCCATAGACTCACGCAGAGACCCATAGACTCACACAGAGACCCGTAGACTCACACAGAGACCCACAGACTCACGCAGAGACCCACAGACTCATACAGAGAGCCGTAAAGTCTTGGCAGAGGTGGGGATACCCACATTCCCCCCCACCACCACCACGTGCGCCCAACCAATCGACACGTTTAGACTGCTGGGCAGACAGCGCTGGTTGGGCTCAGGGAGACGCAGTGTCCACCTCTGGCGCGGGGGCCGGGTTGGAGGTCACGCGAGGGTTGGAGGTCACGCGAGGGTTGGAGGTCACGCGAGGGTTGGGGTCACGTGAGGGTCGGGGTCACGTGAGGGTTGGGGTCACGTGAGGGTCGGGGTCACGTGAGGGTCGTCGCCCGCTCGTGATC